TATGATCTTATCGCAAACCAGACTGGTTGATTTCAGTTTACAACATTGAGTAATCCATGGCTTAATATATACATATTTATAATTAGCCATGGAGTAATCTATTTTAGGTTCTATGGCTCCGTGGTAGACCATTGAATAATATCGATATTCGTTTATGATATTAATATTATGATAAAGTATTCGTGTTTTTACCGAATGTGACTACTGACTAACGAATTATTGCTCGAAAAAACGATACCTACATATTATAAAGAATTTAATTTGTAAATTATTTAATAAGGTGTATGTTAATTTAGAATTGTGATTTTAATCTCAAAAAATTTTTTATTGAAATATTGACAATGAAAAAACGAAAGACCATATTTGATTATTTCAAAAATAATACACCAAGTACAAGTAAGTAAAAATATTAAGTATTTTTATCTTCATAAGCAGCTTGAACTTATTAAATACATTTATTTGATATTTTATATTTTTACATAAAAATATATAAATACCTAACCATATACAACACTACATCAGTTTATTTAATTTAAATAATAGTACATTGTAAAATTATTGAATTTGTAAGTAATTGTCTGTATTAATCAATTAGGTGCACAATCAGATACACATGCATTGTTGGAGGAATGTGAGGTAGACAATCCTTTACCTTATTCTAGCGTTTCATCTATTACAACGGATTCAACTGGTAATTGGTATTGTTTATTATTAATAAGTGAAATATAGATGGTACATATAAATATAAGTTCAAATAAATAAATTTTCATGTTATTTATTTTAAGAAAATTCTAACTCTGATGAAACTGAACCGTTCGAATCTAACTTCCAGTCATTATTACCATGTAATATGAAAACAGCTTCTACTGGTATGAACAAATTTTCTTTGATTTTTTTTTTTTTTTTTGTAGTGAGATATCATTTATGATATAACTATAACTACAACTTGTGTTTTCCAATAACTTTTTTTTAAGTGCTAAATATATTGTGTTAGCTGTTTTTGTTAATTTGTATTGTTCTTAATATTATATGTAACTAACTTATGTATTGTTTTGTATTTAACCTATATGTTATTGTATTATTATTGTACTAATTAGTGATTAGCTCTATCATCTGTGTTCTGAGATCTTTTAACTCTAATTATGTCCTAAGGACTCAATTGTCAGCAAAAAAATTAAAAATGTATGTTAATAAAGTAAGTAATATTTAATATAAACTTTAAAATATTGTCTATAACTATATAATTAGTTTTTGTTTTTTTTTTTTTTTTTATAAAAATAATAATTTATAGAGAAAGATTAATATACTAGCTAATTATTAATAACCAAATAAAAGTATAATTCCTATGTAGTATTGAAGGTCTAAATAATTCAATAAATTCAAAGTATTTAGTTTAATTTATTTTCACAAAATTATTTTCATATCAAATTGTTCATTTTTATAACAGATACAATTAATGAGGATTTTACCGGACTGCATCCTGGTGATCCTAAACGCTCTTTACCTACAAATCGTCTAGAATTGAAAGATCGGATTTTGAGAGGTCCTTTTCAACCTGTGTTGACAATGTTCCCAAGGAGCATAATTAGTGGTGTTCAACGTAGTTTCCATAAAAATTGGTATGAACAATTTACATGGCTTGAGTATAGTCCAAAAAATAATTGTGCATTTTGTTTTCCTTGTCGAGTATTTAAAAATTCTTCCGGAATCAATGTTGGGCAATCAGATACTACATTTTCACAAAATGGTTTTAGTAATTGGAAAATGGCTAGTCAAAAGTTTAAGTTACACCAAACTTCTAGATCACATTTAAACAGTGTTACATTAATGACAGATTTTTTAAATTCCAAGTCAATAGATTTGCTTTTAATTGAGGAAAACAAAAAGTTGCTTAATGAAAGGGAAAAAAAAAAAATTAACAACCGATGTATAATGCATAGACTCATAGATATAACATTATGTCTTGGTATTGGGGGAAAACCATTTCGTGGGCACAATGAAAAAGAAGGTGATGCCCATAGAGGGCTTTTTTTGGATTTAGTCTGACTTTTAACAAAATACGATCCTATTCTAAAGGAACATTTTGATTCTGGACCTCGTAATGCATTATATCATAGCAACCGTATACAGAATGATATTATTGCATCAATAAACACAGTGTTGAAAAATAAATTGAAGTCTGTTATAAAAAATCAACAAATTTCTATAATTGCTGATGAAACCTCCGACATTGGTCACCACGAGGAACTGTCAATTGTAGTACGTTATTATGACAGTATTAAAAACTGTCCAGTAGAACAGTTTGTGTGCATGAAGAGGCTATTATCTACTGATGCACAAAGTATATTTAATACATTATGTGAAGTCATTGAACAGTATGAAATTCAATGGCAATCAGTTTCATCGGTTTGTTTTGATGGTGCTGCTGCAATGTCTGGTGGTTTGAATGGAGTGCAGGCCAAATTTAAAGAAAAAAATGATAAAACAGTTTTTGTACATTGTTACGGACACTGCCTCAATCTGGTTTTAGTTGATTCATTGGGAAGACAAAATAGAGTAACATTCGATTTTTTTGGAACCATACAATTAATTTACAACTTTATAGAAAGTAGTTCTACAAGACATGCAACACTTGAAAAAGTAGCTAACTCTGCAAATATAAAACTAAAAACATTAAAATCCGTATCAAATACACGCTGGGCTTGCCGTGCTGAGGCTGTTTCTGCTGTAAAATCAGACTATGGACCTATATTAATTGCAATACAAGAAATTGGTGATGCTACGAAACAACTAGATGTTAGAGCAAAAGCACTTGGATTAATTCATCAGATGAAAACTTTTGATTTTATATTCGCTCAACAGATGTTACACTCGATTTTGACTCTTATTTTAAAGGTAAGTATGGCTTTACAAAGTTCAAATTTGGATCTTATAACCGCAGTTTCTCTCATAAAGTCATTAAAATTATCTCTAAAGTCTATGAGAAATGACAAAGATTCATTTAAAAATATATACAATAAAACTCTAGAAATATGTGAAGAAAATAACATTTCCATTCCTGATGTGAAAAAAAGACGAGTGTCTTCTAAAATTGACTGTAATGAAACACAATACATTATATCAACAAAAAAAGATGAAATGAGGATAAATGTGTATTTTACCACATTAGATGTAATGATTTCAAGTATAAGTGATCGCTTCAAACAAGAAACATTAGAGTTAATTAAAAGTGTTGGTAATATGCTTAAATTAGAAACTAATAACGAAGATACAATAATCATTGCTTCAGCTTTTAATTTGGAATTTCATGGGTTAGAATCAGAAATTATTTTGCTGAAAAAATTGGAAAATATACCTAAAGGAAGTAACCAAAAAGCATGTGAAGAATGGATACAATGGTTGACAAATAATAATTCTGATAGAACAGCCATATTTAATAATTTTTTCAAAGCTATTAAATCATTTGTAGTTATACCAGTGACAAGTTGCTCATGTGAGCGTTCCTTTTCAAAGCTCAGTATTGTAAAATCAAAACTTCGAAGCACAATGGGGCAAGATCGATTAGATGGACTGTTAACTATGTTCATCGAACAAGATATGGCTTATAATATAAATGTAGATGAGTTATCGAATATTTCAAAATCAACACACCAGCCAAAAGGCGTATGGAGTTATAATAAACACATATCTAATATGTTTATACTTTATTTTATAAAATAGTGTTGTTAAAATTTTACTTATTAACTAATTTAGGTATACTACATTTAATTATTACTTATAAAATATTTTTTTATTATGGTAAATGCAGTTAAATAAAGTTACCCTATTAAAAATTTTTTGTTCGTGTTAAATGTCAATGTGTAATGTATCATGTATGACTACCCTGCCAATAATGTCTGCGCACGCTTATGATAATGATTTTTATAACCTTAACTTAATCTTATCTTAATCGACTCTTGCTGATCATTATTATTTCGATTAAATATTAGTAATCGTTTTACTCGTCAACACTGTTTAGTATACAGACAATAAAAATAAAACTTAAAACAAAATTAACGTACCTTTTTTGCAATCACTTTGTATTGCCGTATATTTAAAACCGGTTTTAAATTGATGGTAAATACTAAATAGTATAATATTACACGAGGTTCGAAATACATAATATATACTTAAGTTTCAAGTGAAGTGTTTAAATTATCTTCATCGTCTTGATCTTGTATACAATTTAAATTTTGAACATTTTATAAAATTTAAGATGATGAAATTTGTTAACGTTTTAACGAATATATTTTGTACCGAAATAATTCATTGTTATTAGCTATATTTATACACAAATAAGCAATAAAAAATTTTAATACGTTAATGACTAATAAAGTATCGATAAAAAAATAAAGAACATTTTATATTTGTTACTTTAAATTATGGAATATCTTAGTAGTTAACCTCTTCATGCACGTAGATATCATATGATACGATAATATATTATGGCGGTAAAATAATTTAAATTACATAATTATTTACAACTAATAGTATCATCTGATAATCAACATATGTAGTATTTATTCCATGAAATATTTGATGTCTGTCATATCATACAGTTTATATTATCAATGCTCAAAAATCATAATACGTCATTTTGAAAAAACACGATTCTTGTTATGTTTGTTATTAAGTTTTATTTACTTTTATCTATTTTTTGACTATATTTTAATGTTTTATAGTTTAGTTATGTTATAAAGATTAATATTATCTATAATTTTAACGATTTTATATTTATGTTACTTCGTAATACACAAAAGTATACTTGGTACCATATGATACTATTGTGCAATTCAGGTACACGTACATTTAATTTTATTTAAAAATTTGTATATTTTATTTTGGCTTGATACATATTTTAGAAAGTTAATATTATGGATTTAAATGA